CGAGCAGATTGATGCTTGTAAATACACCGTGAATGAGGCACAATTGTGAAATCTTATCGATGGATCATGAAACGATGCTGATCGAAAGTTTCATGATTATGTCAGAGAGTTGGTTATCTGAAGGAAAAAGCGTGGAAATGCTCACTCAAGAAAACCTAATTAAACAAATATTGATACAGCGATATGTTATATCCGTTACTTCTGTCCGTTCGAAATTAAAACTCGAGAGAAAGGAGGCGCAACGAGCAGTTCAGTTCATGATGAGGTGGGGAGAGAATGAGAAGGGGAGAGAATTTAATGGTTACAGCGGTTAAGCTTTTTAGCCAAGAATAATTAAACGCTTTGAAGAGGAATTGAACCTTTCGTGCTCTACTTTTTTCTGGGATCTTTTTATTATCACGATTATTTTTTTTTTTTTTTAAAGATTAAATAGAATGGCTTTTTAATGAATAGTAAGATTTATGAGCGAAATTTAATGTGACTTTTATCTTGTTTTTATTAATATTTCCGAATATATTTATTTTTTAATATATCAATTGTTAAGAAGAAGCAAACATTCGATAATATGAAATGCAGTTTCGCCCATATATAAGCTTTTAATTAATAACGTTTTCTTGGAATACAATTAATTTAATCAGAAAAGTAAAATGTTTTTCGAGAAGAATGCGAAAAATGTGAAGCTTCGTGTTTTTTCCAAGTTTTTGAAATTTTACGTTAAATATTAAATATTTCACATTAATATTTGTTATATTTCAGTTTCAGGATTAATAAATCGGTACACAAAAATACAATATACTTTTCGTATCTTCCAAAATTTCAATACAATAATTTCTTTCGTCGTAATCGCAAGAAATTTACTAATCTATTCTTTCTTCTAGAAGAATTCTATAGCATTTTCACGAAACTCACGTCATGAGACGATCGCAATGCGCGAAAGCAAGTGACGGTGCAGACAACGTAATCGTGGATCGCGTGGCCAGGTTCAAGCATGGTCTAAGATTTCTAACAGTATATTCGCGTGTATTTTCTCGATCGTCTCGAGACATAATATTTTTTGTCCTTCTTGAATACCGCCAAAAGAAGTGGCCACGTGGCGTCTCCGTTATATGTACGCGGGTGTCTGCCATGCGTAAACCATTTACGTAACGCCAAGATACGCCGTATTTCGATGATTAACAATTTGTTTTGCGATCGGCAAAGGTGACTCTTCGTACGACACAAATACCTTACGTAAGCTACCAGATAAATGCGTATATGCAAGCGGAGATTAAGTGTTCCGTTTTTCGAATTTTTCCGCACACTTTTTGATTATTAAATCGAACACGAATACAAATCTAGGATCGTTTCTCGAATCGAAACATAACCTCACCGGTCGAGAATCGTGAAGTTGTTCGGAAATGATGAAATTGATGGGTAGAGAGATAATAAGGATTTTAATAATAAATTTTTTAGTTATTATTTAATGAAGAGTTTTTGAATATAAATTTCGAAGTATCGAATTTTCCATAATTTTTAGGTTAAATGTATTGAAATTCCATTTTTGAATTAAATATCGAATTAATTTTAATTTTTATATTAAATATAAAACGCTTATCTTCAAAATGATATAATTTGATATTATTGAAGTGTATGATATTATTATAAATGAAGTTGAAAATGATATTGAATTTCTTTTTATAATATAATATTAAAATATATATAAATATATATAATACATATTAGATATCATACATGTGTAATAAATAAATATTTATCTTAAAAACTGCATTTTTATTCAACATTCATTGACACATATTTATTTATCGTTCGTATTAATACCTTAATATGAACGTATGATAAATGACAGAATTCTATTTATCATTAATGAATATAACTAACAATAGATTATATACGCATGTGTAAGTGATTAATATTTTTCAAATGAGAATCGCAGTATTTTTTTTTTTTTTTTTGTT